CTTATTTTTTTTCTTTTTTTGAAACAGAGTCTCACTCTGTTGCCCAGGCTGGAGTGCAGTTGCCCAATCATAGCTCACTGAAACCTCAAAGTCCTGGACTCAAAGGATATTCCTGCCTCAGCCTCCCAAGTAGCTGAGACTACAGCTACATACCACCACCACCAGTTAGTTTTTTAAATTTTTTATAGAGACAGGGTCTCACTATTGCCTAGGCTGGTCTCAAACTCTTGGACTCAAACAGTCCTCTAAAGTGCTAGGATTACAAGTATGAGCCACTGTTCCTGGCCTGTTTTTTTGCCTGTTTTTGTTTGTTTGTTTTTTACTTTACATTAATGAAATTGTAGGGTGTGTATTATTTGGTCAATATTATGTTCTAATATTTCATTTTTTTCACTATACTAACAAGGACAGTACTTCATTTTTTATTGCTGTGCATTATTCTATAGTTTGAATACACTGAAATTTATTTTTCTGTTCTGTTGATGGACTTTTCAGTTGTTTCTAGACTTAATTATTATGAAGAATTTTATTTTGAGCATTCTTGTACCTATCTATCTCCTGGTGCACATGATCACATATCTCTGTATACAATAGATGTAGCAGTGAAATTTCTGAGGTAAAAAAGTGTGTATAATTACAACTTTTGTAGATATTGTCAAACTCTTTTCCAAAGTAGTTGTACCAGTCATCCCTCTCATTAGCAGTGTGTGAGACTTTACTTTGCTCCACGACATTGCCAGTACTTTCATTGTCAGATATTTAAATATTAGCCATACTTGTAGGTGTGTCATGGTATCACGGTGTAGTTTTAATTTGAACTTCCCTATTACTTATGAGGTTGAGCACCTCTTCATGTGTTTATTGACTGTTAGGATTTTTTCTTTTGTGAAATCCTGTTTAAATCTCTTCTCCATTTTTCTATTAGGTTGTCTTTCTTTACCGGTTCTGGCTAGGTTATCTAGCATTGAGTTACAAACCACTCCAAAACTTAGCAGCATATTTTGTTTACAAATCTGCAATTTAGGCAGGTCTCAACTGGGACAGGTTTTCTCTGTTCCATGTGCATTGGCTGTATCAGCTGTGGCGGCTCAACTGGAAGCTGGAGGATCCACTTTCAAAATAACTTACCACATAACTGGCACATTGGTGCTGGCTGTCGGTGGGGAGCTCACCCAGAGCTGTGGGTCCTTGGGCTTCACTTTCTGTCCAACAGGCCTCTCTGTGGGTTGCTTGGGCTTCTTCACAACATAGCAGCTGGGTTCCAAGATCTAGCATTCCAAGAAAACAAGGTAGAAAGTGCTTGGCACTTTAATGATCCAGCCTTGAAGATTACATAGCATCACTTTCACCATACCCTGTGGGTCAAGGCAGTCACAGAGTCCTGCCCTGATTCAAGAGGAAGGGACATGTTGAACATCTTTTCGTGTACTTACTTGTCGTTTGTATATTTTCTTGGTGAAAGGACTGTTTAACTCTCTTGCCCACTTTTTGGTTAGTTTTTTTTGTTTACTTCTTACTGAGTTTTATGATTTCTCTATATATTCTATGTACAAGTCCTTTATCAGAATCAGGATTTACAAATATTTTCTCCCAGTTTGTTGCTTGTCTTTAACATTTTCTTAACATTGTCTTTGAAAGAACATGCTTAATTTTGATGAGGATCAACTTACAGTTTTTCTTTGCATACTGTGTTTTTGATGTCATATGTAATAAATCTTTGCCCAACTCAAGTTCACAACATTGTTTCTTTAATAAAATTTGTTTTTTAGAAGAGTTTTAGAGTCACACTAAAATTGACCAGTACAGAGTTCCCATATTCCCCCTCTCCCCCCAAACACACATAAAACCTCCCCCACTATCAGTCCATTCCAAAGTGGTACATTTGTTATAATCAGTGAACTAACACCGACACATCATCGTCACCAGAAGTGTATAGTTTACATTAGGATTCACTCTTGATGTTGTACATTTGATGGTTTTTGACAAATGTATAATGACATATGAGGGCTGTCTAGAAAATATCCAGCCATGCAATATGAAAAATATATCAACAATGGCTTATTTTGAATTTCCTGCCAGGTAATGACATATATCTACTTCACTTGGGTAAGTTTCTGAAGATTTTTCATGTTCTTTTGTTTGGAATTTGTTCCTCTGTTTTCTCTCTTTTTTTTTTTCTTTGACTCTTTGTGTTGGTTTCAGTGCATTAGATAAAACAGCTACCTCTCCCAGTCTTGTCAGACTTGCCTCATATAGGAGGGTTTCACCAATCCTTCTGGCCAGAGATGTTAAGGTACCTCTCAAATCTTTGTGTTTTTGTAGACTATGCTCTCTGTCTGTTTTTGGTGGCACCCTGGAGCTTAGGATGTGCCATGTCTCGTTAGAACCCCAAGACTAGAAAGTTAAGAACCAAACTCTCTAGATGTGACTGTAAAAGTTGGCTGTGTATTTCAGTTCCTTATGTCTTCCTGGGAAAGCTTTACACGAGCATTTATCTCTCTTTCTGCACTAAGCTGGGTAGAGAATCTGTGTTCTCATATTCATGCTATGTCTTCTGATCCTGGGGAGATTGCTGCTGGACATGAGCCCATTGTATAGCCACCTCTTTGTTTTTTGTGATCTAGGGCCACTCAGGAATGCAAAGCCCTATTAAGTCCCAGAACTCCCAGAGCTAGTTCATTAAGGAGGCAGTCCCTTATGTGGGAGCTGTAGAAGTTGTGGCACTTGGTGCATGGCCAGACTTTTTCCAGGAAGAAGAAGTAGACCTAGATTGGTCACTGGAGTGAGCTGGAGGGAAGGCTCATGAAGTGCTGAGCTCTGGCTTTGGCTGCCAAAGACCATTGTTTATTTTCCCCATCTGATCTCCAGTGCAAGTTCATTAAAAGCCAGGCTGTCAAGTAGCCACTGGAAGTATGTGCTGTAAGCCCCTTCTGGAGAGAAAATGGGATCTGCATGTTCTCATGCCTTTTCTGTACTGCTCCAAGGGAATGTATCCCCTGGAAGTGTTTGCACGCCCATTTAAGACCATCTCTTTTTTCTGTGATCTAGAGAGAATCACAAATGCCTAGCTCTTTCTGCTCTCAGAGTTAAGAGGTTTAGGATGGACTCCTTTATTAGGTAGCTGTAAAAGTTGGGGCCCTTGATATGTGCCATAAACCCCTTCTGAGGAAAAATAGGGAGCTGTGTTTTTATAGCCCCTTCTCTGGACTGCTCCTGGTGGATGAAGACCCTGGAAGTACCTATGTAACCATATAAAACTGCCAGTGTTTTCTGTGATCTAGGTAGACTCACATATACTTTGTCTACTCTGCTTTCAGAGATAGGTTTAGGTCCCTCAAGTGGAAGCTGTAAAAGTTGGGGCACTCAGTATGTGGACATACTCCTTTTAGGAAGGATTAGTAGACCTATTGTTATTGCTGGGGTGAGCAATCCATAACAGCAGCATTAAGACTGAGATAGTTCTGTTGCTTAAATAAGCTGGCAGCCTGTTTGGTGGCCAGCCTTTTTAGCCATATAAGTTTTCCATAACTAACTCAGTGGATTTCTGTCTGAACCTGGCTTAGTGTTTCTCTCCACGGGTCGTTTGTAACCAGGGACTCACATACCTCAAAAACCATGTTGGGATATTGTTTGGAATAGTATTTAACTACAGAACAGTTTGGGGAGAATTGACATATTGAAAATATTGAGTTTTTTAGTTTATTTCATGAACATGGAACATCTCTCAACTTAATTAAGTTGTCTTGATTTCCTTTATCAGTGTTTTATAGTTTTTTGCATACAAATCTTGCGTGTATTTCATAAGACTTGTACCCAAATATTCCATATTTTGGGATACTATTATAAATTATATCATTTAAAATTGTAGTTTCTAATTATTCATTTCTAATATATAGGAACAAAATTGATTTTTGTATATTGATTTGCATCCTACAACCTTACTCCACTCACTTATTAGTTGTAGTAGCTTTTTAGTAGATTATTTTGAATTTTCTACATTATCATGTTATCTGCAAATTTAAACAGTTTTAAATTTTCCTTTTTCAATCTGTATATTGTTTATTTCTTTTCTTTGCCTTATTTCATGGGCTAAAACCTCTAGTATGATTTTTGAGTAAGAGTGATGAAAGAAAACCTTGCATAGAGTTGTTCATAGTATTTCCTTATTATTGGTTCATTGTAGGGTCTGTAGTTATGTCCCCTCTTTAATTCTTGGTGTTCATAACTTGTGTCTCTTCTTTTATTCTTGGTCAGTCTGGCAGAGGTTTATCAATTTTTATCAACAATAGTTATTATAAGTACTCATTATGTGTCATATACCTTTTAATGAGATTTAGTTATATTTTATTTGTATATCCAAGAATCTATATTTTCTATTGTTATCCCCTTTAAAAGGTTAATAAACTGAAGCCTATATGTATATTAGGAAACTTGACTATGATTGAATAGCCAGAATGAGAGTTCCAGCATTCAAATCAAATCTTGTTGACTCCAAAGCCTTTGCTTTTGACCAGTCTGCTTTATTGACTGGTGTAAGGGACAAATCAAAATTGGTATATGAAGAAAATCTCCTCCTTCATTGTAACTGGAAGCAAACTTTTCATTCCCATCATTGGACTGTAATAACTGCTGTTCTCTAGCATTGGGGCCTTCCCTGTAAACAGCATATAGTACAGAACCTCTTGTCATAAGGTCTCTGGAGATCTGTTTGCTCCTTCCAAAAGTTTAGAGCACTCAGTCAGGGAACCTACAAGGAGAGACAGAAAATTCAGAGATTTCTGGTTGCTACAAAATACTGAATAACGCATCTTAGATTTTCAGAACATAGGCGCTTTTAAGGCTTTCTCGTGACTGGATACATGAAGTGATGGTCCTGATGTCGTCTACTCCTGGTAGATAGCAAATAAAAGCCTTGATTCTATGCCCTTCTCTTTAAAATGGAGGCATCTCTTTCCCCTGATAAGTGTAAGATATGCTTTTGAAAATAAAGGCTGACATAGCTTTCTCGTTTCCTCAGGTCTGACGGTAACTGCTGTGAAAGACTCAGGAGAGTGGAATTTGGAGGCTGGAGCCCTAGTGCTTGCAGATGCAGGCCTTTGTTGTATTGATGAGTTTAACAGCCTCAAAGAGCATGATAGAACCAGTATCCACGAAGCAATGGAGCAGCAAACCATAAGTGTTGCTAAGGCTGGGTAAGAGCTTCTTTTCTTTAAAATCTATGGAGAGATTATTTAATATATGATTAGGGGAAAGTGTGAACCTTGTTGAACAGCGGCAAGGTATGTTTGGTCCTCTCAAGAATTATCAGTTAACACCCTTTAAGACACACATCACAGTTTTTCCTTATTAGACCATACAAGTGTGTGAGGAAATAAAAATGAGTTATTGGGAAAAAGAAAGGGAAAAGCGAAATATAAATGTAGGTTGACTTAACTAATGGAGGGGATTTAAAGAGCTTTCAGTGTAGGATTCAACCTATTCTCTCTTCCATTCAATAAATATTGTGTGTATATTCTGAACATATATGTTATGAATTTAGAACGGTTTAAAAAGAAAAAAAAACATAATTTCTGGCATCCTTATACATACTTACATCCTAATGGAAAGGGTTTTTTGTGAGGTTTTTTTTTTTTATAGGCAGAGTCTTGCTCTGTCCTCTCAGCCAGAGTACAGTGGCATCACTGTAACTCACTGCAACCTCAAACTCCTGGGCTCAAATGATCCTCTTGCCTCAGCCTCCAAAGTAACTGGGGCTATAGGCGCACACCATGATGCCCAGCTAATTTTTCTATTTTTAGTAGAGACAGAGTCTTGCTCTTGCTTAGGCTGGTCTCGAACTCCTGAGCTCAAGCAATCTTCCTGCATCAGCCTCCCAGAGTGCTAGGATTACAGGCATGAGCCACTGCACCCAGCCCCGATGGAAAGTTGATCATAGCACATAGAAATGTAAATAATAGTATGTATTAGCATAAGATGAAGTGCCTGTCATGACTCAAGGAGATTCAGGATTGCGGTATGTGAGTCCCTGGTTACACATGACCCATGGAGAGGAACACTAAGCTAGATTCAGACAGAAATCCACTGAGTTATTTATGGGAAACTTCATGGCTGCAAAGACTGGCAACCAAACAGGTTGCCAGGTCATTCAAGCAACAACAGGGCCAGAACTATCTCAGTCTTAATGCTGCTAGTATGGATGTGAAGCCAATTGATCAAGCAGATAGAGCTGCCAACTGCATCTTCAAATAGTAATGGGTACTCGGGAGCCCAGCAGATAATGGTATATATAGATTCTCTGAGATCTATTTATATACACTAGCAAAACAGTAATGGGGAGGGAGGTGGGGAGGGAGGGAAAACAGGATATAGCACATAGGAAAAGGACACAAGAAAGAAGTAGGCAGAACCATTATCAGATCTATTCATTTGTTCATTTACTCAACATATAATATATTCATTAAAAACCTGTTTGCTAGGTACTATGCTAGACACTGAGTAATACAAAGATGAATAAAATATTGTCTTTGAAGTGTTCACTATTTTTTGTGGGGAAAGATAGACAAATATAGCAGCAAAGTGATAAGTCCATAATAAATGTTACGAGGTCAGGCATGATGGCTCACACCTGTAATCTAGCACTTTGGGCTTGAGACTGGGAGTTCAAGACCAGCCTGAGCAAGAGCGAGACCCCGTCTCTACTAAAAATAGAAAAATTAGCCAGGCGTGGTAGTGTGCACCTGTAGTCCCAGCTACTTGGGAGGCTGAGACAGGAGGATCAGTTGAACCCAGGAGTTTGAGGTTGCAGTGAGCTATGATCATGCCACTGCACTCTAGCCCAGGTGACAGAGCGAGGCCCTATTTCCAAAAAAAAAAAAAAATGTCAGTAGTAGAATTTACCTGTTTTTAAACTGCGTATATCAGTACCTGTGACGGCTGAATGGCAGCACAGTGCTACACAGTGTATAGTCATTTGAAAGAACTTTATGTGATGATGATCTTTAAGATTGTAGGATGCTAAACCAAATAAAGATTTGGGAAAGATAATGTTTCATTATTTTCAAGGTCCTTTTCAAATGTAACTAGGATAGCATCTCATCAGGGGCAGGGTATCACTAGATTTTTAAATAATAGAGGAAATCCTCACTGTTTGCTGAGGACACATTTAGGACAATGAGATATGTGGTGCTACTAAATTATGCTCATATGCCTAGATAGGAACTACAATCTGAAAATTAAAAAATGGCAAGATAGCAGTTTATTGATTTACTCAATAAACATGTCTTGAGCACTAAGCAATGTCATGTTTTCTGCTAGCTACTGGCACCACAAAGATGAAAAGACAAGGCCTTTTTTCTCAAGATGTTCACAGCCTTGTGACAAGACAGACAAGTAAACATTTATTATATACTGTGATTCTAACAGCCCTAGAAGAGCCAGTGTACAAATCCCCACTTGACTGATCATTAGTTTTCTGGCCCATACAGGCCTACTGAATCAGAATCTCTCAAGTGGGACCTGGGAATCTGTATTGTGAAAACCTACCTTGGGTCCCATTGATCAGCCCGGCCTAG